CATAATGAGGCCCAAAATTACCCTTCTGGTATAACAACTAGAAAACTGAGCACAATATGTGCAACAGATAGCAACAAAGCCTTTAGAGACAGGTAACATAGGAGAGTACTGAGAAAGGTCTTGTATCAGATGTTAATAGTTAGCTGGAGGCCAACTTCTGCTCTAATCCCACCCAGCAAATCTTCAAAGCTAGACCCAGGTGCATGACAAGGTGCTAGCATCACTAATAATCAGGGAAATGAAAATCAAAACCACACTGAGATACCACCTCACACCTGTCAGAATGGCTAATATCAAAAAGACAAGAAATAACAAGTGTTAGTGAAGAATGTGGAAAGGGAACCCTTGTGCTTTATTGGTGGTAATGTAAATTAGTGTAACCACTATGGGAAACAGAATAGAGGTTCCTCAAAACATTAAAAATAGAATTACCATATGATCCAGCAATTCCACTTTTGGGTATTTGTCTCAAAAACAAAAAGATCTATGCACCCTCATGTTCATTGCACCATTATTTACAATAGCCAAAACATGGAAGCAACCTAAGTGTCCATCAATGGAGGAATGGATTAAAAAAAAAAAATGTGATGCATATATACACAGTGGAATATTATTCACCTATAAAAAAGAAGGGAATCTTGCCATTTCCAACAACATGAATGGACCTCGAGGGCATTATGCTAGGTGAGGTAAGTCAGACAGAGAAAGACAAATGCCATAAGATTTCACTTATATGTGGAATCTTGAAACAAAACAAAATAATAACAATCACAAAAGCCAAACTGAACTCATAGACAAATAGAAAAGATTGTGGTTGCTGAAGGGGAGGGGAAGGGGCATTGGGAAGGAGAGTAAAATGGGTAAAGGTGGTCAGAAGGTTCAAACTTCCAGTTATAAAATAAATAAGTCATGGGAATGTGATATACAATTTGGTGATGATAGTTGATAATACTGTATCGAATATTTGAAAGTCGCTAAGAGAGTAGATCTTAAAAGTTCCCCCACACAATACAAAAAATTTAACTATGTGTGATGATCGATGTTAACTAGTCTATGGTAATCATTTTTCAGTATATACAAATATTAAATCATTGTGTTGTACATCTGAAACTAATGTAGTGTTATATGTCATTTATATCTCAATTTTTTAAGTAAAAAAAAAAAGTCAGGACATAGAAGGATTGAATGATCTTCAAGTAACTTAACTGTGTCCTAGAACAAAGCTTAAGAATATTTATAGGAACATAAAAATATCTAGAAATAAAGTAATAAAATTCACAATGTCTATCATCTAAACAAAAATTATCAGACCTTCAAAGAAGCAAGAACATATCCCTTAAAAGAATGAATCAATCAAAACCAACCCAGATCTAACACACATTTTAGAATTAGCAGACAAGACATTAAAGTTATCTTAAAGAAGATAAACAAATGGCCAATGAGCACATGAAAAAACACTCAACTTCATTAGACATCAAGGGAACACAAATCAAAACCACATGAAATTCCACTTCACATTCAATAGAAGACTACAATAATAATAATTTTGTAAAAAGATAATAACAAGTGTTGGTGCAGATGTAGAGAAATTGGAACTCTCTTACACTTCTGGTGGGAATATAAAATGATGTAGCTGCTTTGGAAATAGTCTGGCATTTCCCCAAAAGTTTTGAACGTATAGTTACTCTTTCACCCAGCAATTCCACTCCTATGCATATATCCAGAAAATTAAAAACATGTATCCATAAAAAATCTGAGTTCTAGCACCACATTGGGCATATTTGCTGTAGTCTTATTCACAATAGCCAAAACATAGAAACAACCCAAATGGTATGATCAGATGAATAGATAAAATGTGGCATATCCATATAATGGAATATTACTTGGCAATAAAGATAAATGAAGTACTGACAGATGCTTACAGCATGAATGAACCTAGAAAATGTTATACTAAGTGAAATAAGTCATAAACAAAAGGACAAGTATGTGTTATTCCATTTATGTAAGATATCTAGAAGAGGCAAGGTCGTAAAGACAGAAGGTCTGATAGAGGTTACCCTGGGCTGAGGGAGGAGAAAATGTGGAATTAATGTTGAATGAGTACAGTTTGGAATGATGATGAAGTTCTGGAAATTAATAGTGGGAGTGATTGTGCAAGGTTATAAATGTACTCAATGCCAATGAATTGTATATTTATAGATGATTAAGATAGTAAATTATATATATTTTACCATAATAAAAACATAAATCAGTACAAATGTACCTACTTTACCTTTATTAATAATTTTAAAATTCACCTGTTCTCACAGACCCCTTAACAATTTCTTCATCCCTACTAAACTTTTCTAGGCTTGAGGGTCTTGTCTTTCAAACTTAGTGAAGTCACTACGAAGACAGTTGTCTGTTACTTGGAACCTTTACATTCCCATGCAGGAATCCCTGAAAAGAACCTAATTTCTCCACACTTTCTAAAGATTAGATACATTTTGCAACCCAAGTGAAGAAAATGTCCCATCTGCCCCATAGAATGTACCTTATCACTACTGCACTAGTATTTCTTAGTCGGCCCTGTGTTACCAAGAGGAATAATGGGTGAGAAAGAAGATGTATTTCAGTCTTCTGTAATCTATTCACATGGGTCATCAAAATAAACATTTTTAATAATAACTTCTTAGGAAAGAGGCCAATATCTCAGAGGATTAGCCAGTATTTAGTAAAAAGAAGGAATTATGACATTCAAATCTGTATTCTTTAATCTTACCTTCTTAGTCTTATATATATAAGCACCATGCATGTATGCATATGCATGGGAGAGGGGCAGAGAGAGGGGCAGAAAGAATCCCAAGCAACGCAGAGCCCGACACAGTGATCAAACCCACAAACTGTGAGATCATGACCTGAGTTGAAATCAAGAGTCAGATGCTCAATCGATTAAGCCACTGAGGCACCCCAAGATATTTTTAATCTAGATGTGTCTTTAAAGATAGAGAGAGCTGACAGCAGACAAGGTAGGTAACCGCTCTTTTTTTTTTTTTTTAATTTTTTTTTTTTAATGTTTTATTTATTTCTGAGAGAGACAGACAGCGTGAGCAGGGGAGGGTCAGAGAGAGGGAGACACAGAATCTGAAACAGGCTCCAGGCTCTGAGCTGTCAGCACAGAGCCCGATGCGGGGCTCAAACCCACGAACTGTGAGGTCATGACCTGAGCCGAAGTCGGACGCCCAACCCACTGAGCCACCTAGGCGCCCCGGTAGGTAACAGCTCTTGATCATGATTTGGTAGCTGGTAAGCCTCAAATTTAGTTGTTTGTTCAAGGGAGAAAGCAAGGAGTCAAATTAGACTTCAGAATATCATCTAAATAATTGAGGTGTACCCTCCAGTCTCACTCTGTTGCCTACTTTGTGACTTTCACGTAGTGTTTTTCATACAAATTATTTTCACAGGTGTGATCTGATCATCCCTGACCAATCTCCCTCAAGGTTACTATCTCAGTGACCTAGACTCACTTGTTGGAAAATAGAGCATCTTGAAATTCCACACCTATCTTTCTTTCTGAATAAAGTAAAATTTGGTAACTGCAAGAATGAAGCCATTTTTGTTGTCAGCAATGGTTAATTCAAGATTCATTTTATTTTCCTAGAAGAGTGCTTATAGTTCATAAGCATTTCTCCACTTTTTTCATCCTCCTAGATAAGATTATCCACAGAGGGATTTGAGACATTTCCCAAAAATAACTCTTGGTTGGCTAGTCTTATAACTCTTTTGAGTGTCAAGGATTACTGTGTAGTTCTGGAACTTTGGGATTTACCATGAAAGTCAGATTTTTCTTATTCTGTTCTTTCTGGGGTCATCTGCCCCATGACCATGCTCTTACTTCTCTTTGGTCATTTTTGACATCAAGGAAACCAAGTTTATAATCCATGGCAAATTTTGACATGGTATATCTATGCAGAGTTATTAATGAAGAAAAATAGTTTCATGCGATGTCTTTTTTTTTTTTTTTTTTTAAATATTTTTATTTATTTCTAGGAGAGAGAGAGAGAGAGACAGCGTGAGCAGGGGAGGGTCAGAGAGAGAGGGAGATACAGACTCTGAAATAGGCTCCAGGCTCTGAGCTGGCAGTCAGCACAGAGCCCAACGCGGGGCTCGAACCCACGAACCGCGAGATCATGACCCAAGCGAAAGTCGGACGCTTAACCGACTAAGCCACCCAGGCGCCCCATGCGATGTCTTTTTAACAAATTTAAGACCTGGTAACCGGGACAAATAACCACCAATCAAAATTCAATCTGAGAAAACTAAGGAGGCAGCCAACGTGGGACAGAATGAATGGTTTCTTATGCGCAAACAATATAAATTGTGTGACTTGATATGTCTCCAGGAATTGCTTTTGCAGTGGTTTTACTTTGAAATCTGTGGTATTCTATATAAATCAAGAAAAATATTCTGCATCTTAAGTAGTTTGGCTCTCCTGACTACAAGGTAAATTCATTGACTTAACCATGTTTATCAGTTCACTGTGGACCACTGATGTATTGCAAGCCTTCTGCTCTGTGTTGAAGACCCAGTCATGTATAAGATGTTGTTCTTGCCTTCAGGGAGCTCTCAGTCCATTTTGAGAGGCAGACGTATAAATAGATAAGAAGCTCTGCAATATGGAGAAGGCCATAATAAGTGTTGTGGGATCCTAGGTGAGAGAATAACTTTGCTTAGGGAAGCTGGAAAAACCTTTATGTAGACAGCATAATTTGAGTTAGACCTGAAGTAATGAATAGATATTTTCCAAATAGAGAAAGTTAGAAGAAAAAAGCATTCTGGGCATAGGAAGTAGATGTGCAAAGACTTAGAGGCATAAGAGCACCTGGTGGTTCCTGTGAATGGCACAGATTTTAGTGAGGCTGGAAAGTAAAGTACAAGGAGAACAGCAGATTAGGTTAGAGAAATAGTGTGTGTACGAGTTCATGATAGCTGCATAACAAACCACCCAGAAGCTTAGTGGCTTAAAGCAACATTCATTTTATTTGCTCATGATTCTATGGGTTGTTCTCAAGTAGGTGGTTCTTCTACTGGTCTCACTTGGGGTATCTATCGCGTGGGTGCAGGGTACTGGATGGGAGACGACTTGTCTCTGCTTCACATGTTCCCATGGTCCAACTGGGCTTCCTCACTTGGTAATATCATGTACTAAGATGATGAAAGCACAGCCTGTTAGAACCTATAAGGCCAGAGCACATGAAACCATCATCTCTTGAGGCCTAAGTTTGGAATTCACACATTGTTACTTCTGCCACGTTCTTTAGTCAAGATAAGTCATGGCTAGCCCAGATTCCAAGGATGGGAAAACAGATTCCACCCCTTGATGGAAGGAGCAGCATTCCAGAGGGGTGTGGGAGGGGAGGAGTTGTGGCTGTCTTTGCAAACAATGTACCAGAGGGTGAAAGCAAATTATAAAGACTGGCTTACAAGGTGAACAGTTTGAAATTCATTCTGAGGGAAACAGGAAGCTAGCAGAGGTTGATTTGTTTGTTGCCATATTTTGTCTTATTTTAAGTACTACAGGAAAAAGATATTCTGCTCAACATCCCTTATTAAGGAGCCATTCCTCTCTTCCAGTCCTGATGGTTACCGAAGAAGCCATCATGTTAGTACAGCAGACTACCTTTTGGTTGGTTGTTTGGATCAGGAGTGGACCAACCAGAATCTTTTCTTTAGATTTTTTGTTGTTGAAAACGAGAGTTGGAACACTGCCAGTACCTGAAGCTGTAAGATGCAACTTAGGGGGTGCTCTGAGGGGTTATGTGGTAAGCTGTGTAAAGAAAGCTGCTCTGCACAGAGAAGCAGAGATGGGAGAAGAGCCCTGATGGTCTTGGAGTCTGCTAATGCTCACATCCCTGCCTAGGCTTGTTCAAATTTGGTTTATCTCTTGCGACCAAAGGAATCCCAACTAATACAAAGAGAGGTTAAAACACGCAAGTAGGGAGTTGCAACTGACAACATAAAAATCTGAAACCAGTTGAGTTTGGGAGTCATGGATGTTTTAACTGGTTTTTACTGGTATGTAAGAAAGCTGTTGGTTTTCATATTTTGCATATAGCTACTCCACTGATAGCTTTTCAGCTGAATCCCTTGGAATTTCCTAGACCAACAATCAGATAATCAGAAAACAATTATATTTTATCATCTTTCTTTAGTATATACACATATGCATACATATGTGTGTATGTGTCATATTTTTTCTTGTCTTGCCTGGTTGGCTAGAACCTCCAGAACAGTGTTATATCACTGTAATTATATTCAGCAAGTCCATCCTATTCCTGATGTTATAAAAAAAATTCTAACATTTCCATCTTAGGTATAATTTTTATAGTTCTGGTCTGTAAAATACTCTTCATCATAGTAAGAGGATTGGATTTTTTTCTTCCAATCTAAATTTAATTCAAATTCTTAAAAATTTCAAATGGATATCATACCTTCAAGTCATTTTTCAGTGCTCAGCAAGTCCATGTTACTTTCTCTATGAGTAAGTCGATGATATTAACCTACTTATTAAGATCAAAGCATCCTTACACTCTCCAACAGTCCCTACTTGTCTTGGTGTAGTATTGCTTTCCTGCAGTTCTGAATCTGATTTGATAATATAGGCAGCCCTTGTTTTCCGCGGCACCATGTTAATTGCTGTTCGTGCATATCAGAGCTGTGTATTGGAGCCTTGTTCTCACTTTGCACGCTTCTAACATGCAGATGCCTTATTTAACGTGGCACTGTGCAAAACAAACATTGTCTGTTTACATTTATATTTGTATGCTTTCTTATATATGTCTGCTAGACTTGGATTAGAGAAAAATGAAGAACCTTTCTTTTTCTTATGCTCCAAAACTGTTTAAATACAAAAGCTGAATAGACTCCATAAAGCCATCTCCTTCGGAGTGATAAACATCTCTGATGATCATTCACTCTCTTTTGGGGGCTCTTCAGATCTTTTACCTCTTACTGAACCAACTTTGGTAATTTACGTTTTGCTAGAAAATTATTCAGGTTACCCAGATTTTCAAGTTAATATGTACAAAGTATATAACGTTCTTTCATATTACTGATTCATTTTCTATAGTTACTGTTTTTCGCATTCCTAATGTTTAAATGTATATTTTCTTCTTTCTTTCTCTTTCTTTCTGTCAGAACCACTAGAAGTTTGTCAAAGTAAGTCTCTTCAAAGATTACATATTTTCAGTTTTTTAAAAATTTTATTTCTGAGACAGAGAGAGAGACAGCATGAACAGGGAAGGGTCAGAGAGAGAGAGACACACACAGAATCTGAAACAGGCTACAGGCTCTGAGCTAGCTGTCAGCACAGAGCCCGACGGCTCGAACCCACGAACCGTGAGATCATGACCTGAGCCGAAGTCGGACGCTTAACTGAATGAGCCACTCAGATGCCCCCATATTTTCAATTTTTTAAAAAATTTATTTTTGAGAGAGAGAGAGAAAGCGAGCATGGAAGTGGGGGAGGGACAGAGAAAGAGAGGGACAGAGGATCCAAAGTCTGTTCGATGCTGACAGCAGAGAGCCTGATGTGGGCTTGAACCCATGAACCATGAGATCATGACCTGAGCTCAGTGGATTAACCAACTGAGCCACCCAGGCACCCCATATTTTCATTTCTTAAACTGTTAAAAAAATTTATTTAAGTAATCTCTACACTCAACATGGAGCTCAAACTCATGACCTGGAGATCAAGAGTTGAATGCTCTTCCAACTGAGCCTGCAAGGCACCCCTACATATTTTCACTTTTTAATCTATCCCAATTTATATCTTTTCTAGTTCATTGATTTATGTTTTATTTTTTATTGATTCACACTATTGTTTTAAGATTTTTTAAAGTTTATTTATTTTTGAGAGTGAGCAAGCAGGGGAGGGGCAGAGAGAGAGGGAAAGAGAGAGAATCCCAAGCAGGCTCTGAGCTGATGGTGCAGAGGCTCAGTCCCATGAACCATGAGATTATGACTGGAGCCAAAATCAAGAGTCAGAGGCTTAACGGACTGAACCACCCAGGTGCCCCATGATTCAATCTATTGTTTTTTCATTTGGTTTACTTTCTCTAGCTTTTTGAGCTAAATATTCAGTTTGCTTATTTTCAAGACAATTTTCTAACAAAGTTATTCAAGAGTATAATGTTATGAGAGTGTATTTAGAAAATATCATGCATTTTGATATGGAATGTTTTTAGTTTGGTTCATTTTAAATCTCTAGCTCAGTTCTTATTTTCTCTTTGACCCACAGGCTATTAGAAGAATGAATGTTACCTGTATAGTTTCTACTTTTATTATTTAAAAAAAAAATTTTTATGTTTTATTTATTTTGGAGAGAGAGATCAACGAGTGGGAGAAGAGCAGAGAGAGAGAGAGAGAAAGAGAGACACGGAATCAAAAGGAGGCTCCAGGCTCTGAGCTGTCAACACAGAGCCCGATGCAGGGCTCGAACCTACCAGCTGCGAGATCATGACCTGAGCTGAAGTCGGACGCCCAACCGACTGAGCCAGCCAGGCGCCCCCAGTTTCTACTTTTAAAAAGTTTTCTGTTGGAGACTTTTTGTCTTAGGATGTGTATATGGCCTAAAATGACTATGAGCAAAGTCTGGTTTTCTCTGTCTAGCTCCTCCTTGAAAATAAAGCTCTCTCACTGGCCAGGCTTCCTTTTCCTCCCACTACATCCAGCTGAGAAGCCCTGTCTAATTGTCAGTGCAGTCATTAAGCTTTTCATATTTTTTGAAAAGGCATTGATATTGCAACCCTATGGGTCATTAAGCCAGTGATCTTTCCGGACCTATTCAGATATATTCAAGTGAAAAACCAAGGTCATTAACTTGCTCTGCAACCCAGACATGCCCATCGCCTTTCCCTAATGGCATGGTGTTTAGTGCCAGCAGAACCCAATTATATGCACAGATTTTGAGGAAATTAATGCTGGATGATTCAGAGTTTGCAAATTAAGTTCACAAATTCTTCAGAGAGAATGGTTGAATTTTCCCAAAGGAGGGAGAAGGAATGATTTGCTAGAAAAGAGAAGAAAGGGCTTCTGGAGAAGAAAGGGCTTCCAGAGAGGAACAAAATAGTGAAAGTTACAAGGGCCAAAAATAGTAACTAGTATGCATATGAATATTTATGTATGTACACGTGTATATATGTTCTTCACTGTTGACAAACCCTTTCACAGACTCTATTTAAGCATTACAGTAATCCTTTGAATAGGTCTTGAGTATTATGTCCCATTTTGCTGCTTGAAGCACTTAGGTTCCAAATGTGGAACGGAGATCTTCTGCTTGAAGTTCTTTCACTGCCTCATGCTGAGGAGTCAGCCCTCTTGAGGCCACAAAGTGTCTTGTCCACAGCACAGCCCCTGGTGAGGATCAGGAGAAGGAAGGGGTCTGGTTCTTTGGGTGTCCCCAAATGTGTAACCTCAGTGTTTGTCTCATTTGAGATCCCCGCGGCGAAGCTGAACGAGCTGCTCGAGAATTTTTATGTCACCGTTAAGAAGAGTGAAGGCTCCGACTTCCTGGCCACCTCGCTGCACGCCATCCGCCGGGGCCTGGACCGCATCCTGAAGAATGCAGGTGTGGGCTTTTCCATCACCAGCAGCACCTTCAGCTCTTCCACGAAGAAACTCAAGGAGAAGCTGTGGGTGCTGAGCAAGGCAGGGATGTCAGGTGCTCGTTCTCGAAATATTGTCTACTTCTCTCTTTCTGATGAGGAGGAGATGTGGCAAGCAGGGTGTCTAGGGGATGACAGCCCCATTACTCTCTTGTCCACTGTGGTCAAGTACAACAGCCAATACCTGAACATGCGGACACTGCAGGAGCATGCAGATCTGATGTATGGTGACATTGAGCTGCTCAAAGACCCACAAAACCAGCCCTATTTTGCCCGGACAGACAGTGTCAAGCGGGAGAGCCGGAGCAATTCCACTAGAGTATGTCATGGGAAAATCTACCATGAGCATTCCAGGGGACACAAACAGTGCCCTTACTGCCTCCTCTACAAGTACATGTACATCCACCGGCCGCCCACCCAAATGGAGGCCAAGTCCCCTTTCTACCTTACAGCCAGGAAGGAGGCCACAGACATGGGCAGCGTATGGTATGAGGAGCAGAGGATGGGACTGCGCTCTCTTCGGGGAATTGTCCCAAACTTAGCCAAGAAGGTCAAACTGGAAAACTGTGAGAACTTCACCTTTGTCTCATTTACTCAGGTCTCCAGGAGGCTTGGCTCCCACAGTTGCTGTCAGTGAGTCTTCTCTGGGTCCAGGCCACTGCCCTGCTTACCCTGATGGGCAGGAGCTCCCTCCAGCAGCTCCAAGGCAGCAGGGCACGATTGTGATGTCAAAATCAGGCTGGTCTCTGTCAGTGTGACCTGCTGTTTCTTTGACTTTGGGTTTGTTTGTTTGTTTGTTTTTTAACTGAAAGTAGATGAGTCTGGCATTTTATCTAAATGTGTGTCACCTTTGTTAAATTATAGAATCTAACACAATGTATAATTGTTACATACACAAGAGTGGAGGAAGTTCATTTTATCTAGTGCCTTGTTAGCACAGATTTTTCTCAAAAAAAAGAAAAAAAGAAAAAAAGGAGACTGTTTAAGTAGTCATTAAAAACCTCCCAGTAGCCTAGTAGCTTTAGAATGTTATGAAGACTATATATACTTCGTTGAATTACACTCACAATAAGGAACTGGAAGGAGAGAGGCAGACATGTTAACTATTTCCAGGAGAAAAATTGCACTCGACACTCCTCTCTCTATTTTGTTGATGGATGACTTGGTTCTGCAGAGCAAGCAGCTTTGGCTGCTAGAAGCTTGGGGGGGCTGCACTCATTAGTGCTGATAAAGAGAGGTGGGGGCTACCCTCCCTGCTGTCAGCACAGGGAACAACTTGATCCCGGCATCAACAGAGACAGTTTTAATTTTATGGAAAAAGATTAATGCACCAGAAGATGTTTATGAGAGCAAGATTTCCGGTGAACTAGATGGTTTGTACCATGAGGGAATTTCCAGTAGTGAAAAAAAAAAAAAAAAAAAAGTAGCTTGGGAAAGCAATCTGTGATCAAAATAAGAAAACCTCCTGAAGCAGAAGTGCCTACGTTTTATTTCTCAGTACCACGTGAAAGCTATTTTCATCTGATTGTTTTTTTGGAATTGTTTTTAATCTGTTCTTTGTGTCTGTCATACAGTTGTTCTGTCAGCATCTAGCACGGGATCTGTAAAACGACTAACGGTAATTTTTCGACTTAACCAGGAAAATCCAACAAAGCAAGCGGCAAAGAAAACCCCAAAATGTGTTTATTAAAGAGCTTTGAAATATGTTTGTCAAAGTATGACTTTCTCAGCCACAGTAGATGTCATCATTTGAGGTTGGCACCACTGCTTGGGACATGATGACGTGGGCAGCCTACCAGGTAAGCAGGCTCAGCATTGTGGATGTAGTCGTAAAAACCAGAGCACGATGACAGAATGTTAATGCAGTTTGAAATTATTTCACTCAAGTAAACGTCAACCTGACCACATGCTGCTGAAACATCAGCAGAATTTTCTAATAACTACTCTGAATGATAAGTGAAAAAGGAGCCCAAAGAGTGGTAATTAAGAATAATAATTTCCAGAAATCTTTATTTTGTATTTGAGGAGAGACTGCTGCAGCTTTATACCAGTATGCTCCTGCGTGTGCTTTCTAATCCAAAATTAAAATTCCAATATAAGTTCATTTTGCCAGACTCCTAAAATCAGTCCTCTTTCTTTTCCAAAACATTATTTTAGTATTTATTCTAATTAATCATTCTTAAATATCATTCACCAGTCATTGAAATACGTACTACTTCCTTTACCGGAAAAGACTCAGCCAATGCTGCCTTAAGGTTTAATGTTTTTCCCTTTTTAGTTAAACTGCACATTTACAATTTTGTTTACTAGTTGATCTTTCCTGAATATGGGTTCACTGGGGTATGTCTCCATGTGTATATAAATAACAGGCAATACTGAATAATCAGTGTTATGACTTGATATTGCATATTGTTCTGTTGTGATTTTCTATAGTGATTGAAGGGTTTTGCTTAAAAAGAGACACAAAACATTAGGTATAGTTTTCTTTAGTTTGCTAAACACCCAAAGGTTGTTCTGTTTGTGGAAAGCAGATGGTCGTGTTTTCTGTCAGTTCTGCACTTAAACAGAAACCCGTGTGAACTATTGGGCAGACAGAGCCTGCAGCCCAATTGAATAAAACCTCCATCTTTATTTTAAATAGAATTGAGATGTCGTCGCCATTAGGAATCACTAGGATCATTTCAGATTTTAACATTTCCATAAGTAGCAATAACTGACCCAGAGGTTGTCATCTTTCTGTTGAGAGTGGCTTTTCATCAGCTGAATAACCACCTCTGCCTCACATTTGTTGCTTGTCACTATTTGATATGTTTTAAATCCCCAGAGTTCTGAAGTGAATGATTCTAATAAAAAAATCAGGAGGTGGAATCTTCAGTGCTATCTGATGGAATGAAATAATTGTATCTCAGCATCCTAAATGCCATGCATTACATGCCTCCCTTGGGGAGCACAAAAGTGAGAAAGAAAACACATTTATCAAGCACTCCTCTGTGCTACCCATTGTACTAGGTGCTTTGTTATGTATTTGTGTTAGGGGTGTGTGTGTGTGTGTGTGTGTGTGTGTGTGTGTGTGTGTGTAACACATACTTTAAATTTATATGTGGTAACACCTGGTAGACCTGCTGAAATGGCAGAGCACCTGTTCCTTTATATGGCCATGTCCATCCTCAAAGGATCTGAAGTGGGGGCAGAGTAGCTAGTTCTCTTTGGCATTCTGCCTTTCCAGCCAGCTCTAAATCATGCCCACTGGGAACACCATGATTTTCTACTCTTGCCTAAGCCAGAAGAAAGGAGAATCCCAAAAGAAGGAAGGGGGTGGAGATTAAGGGCATTTTCTCCACTTAGCTATTTTACTCAAAAGTGGGAATGAAGAGCAGGAATTCACAAGCTCACCTAAGCACAGTTGTCTCTGGCTCTGGATCAGGAACTGTGGGGCTGCAGATATTACGGAGAGTACCTGTGGAGCGCTTCGGACGAACTCTTGCCCACAGCATCTGCTGCATCTGCTCTTAAGTGAGCCCTGCTTGCTTGGTACCTCCTCTGCAGAGTCTAGCAGTTTTCCCCTTTGTAGTTTATTCCAGCAGAGATGATAGGGGGTCAGCTTGAAGGGTATGAGCCCATTAAACATAAAGGGTTTAATACAGCACTAGGCACATAGGAAGCATGCAGTATATGTTAGCTATTTTAGCTACAATTTTGGGAATGATAATATTCAACTAATCTGCATTACATCAATTATTTCTTCCATTGTGGAGATTCTCCCTCCTTTAAACTGTTAAACTTGAAGAGGAAGCCAAACCTGATAATCTGGTCACATTTATACCCATAAATTCTACCTCCAACACAGCCCAGCCCTGATACCTCAGCTGTAAGCAGAAACTTGTGAAGAATGGAGATGCCTTAAGAGGCTTTATGAGAAAGCTTTTGCATTGTTTAGTGTGTTTGCAAAGGGGAGTAATATGGAAGAACCTAACCAAAGTTGTAAAAGAAATGGCCTCCGTGGCTGTGTGGCATTTTCCAGCTCTGCATGGATTATATGCTGTATTAGTCTGCCCTAACTGATAAATGGTGTTTGAAGAAATGTGAAATTCTATTACTTTGATTTTTATTTAAATTCGACCTTATTAAAAGCATCAAGGACTATACCACTCTCTCAGCGTGTTCATAGACCATCACTGGGAGAATCTGGACAAAATAACCTTCATTTAGAAGCTGGAGCCCTTTTCTATGGTAAGAAGAGGACTTGCTTGGGAGCTCCTTCACTGCTCACTTGGCAATTCTGGTCTCACTTCTATCAACTATAATAAAGTGGGATTGTTGGAACGGATCATCTCCAACATGAATACAATTCCTCAAGCTCATATAGTTAGGAAGTGGCAAAACTTGGAAGCAAGATTCCCAATTCCTCAAGATCATATAGTGAATCTCCTAAATTTTAAGAAGTTTCTCACTGTACCAGAACACTTTCTTCTGGAATAACAGTTTTCTTGAATTTTCATTTTTCACAACTTCTAAAATTATTTTTTCCTATTTCTAGGCAACAAAATATTGATTGCTTTTCTTAGTCTAGGCTAATGCTGGCCACATTTTAGTTACTTAAAGTAAACAGGATGTTTAAATATTGTGCTTATCAACATGCATCACTCTGTTGCTTTCACTGAAATCTGGATTGCTAAACCTTGTTGAGCTAGTAACCTGTTACCTTTAGGCACCAATAAATGCAGATTACGAAGACCTCAGAGTTACCTCATTTTCTCTATGTGAGCTCCAGTTTCATCTAAGTTAAGGCCCATGCACATTTAGAAACAGATAGCAAACAGTCCTGAACAGAAGAAAATATTAAAAGTTTCAAATTCACATATATCTTTAAATGTTTTTGCTTTGGGATTGAATGTTTAATGCTCTGTTATCAGGAGAAAAACATTCACTTATATTTAGTCAGTGTTCTTACAAATCTTTTTTGTTTTTCCCCCCATATAAATTAATCACCTTAGCAAAATTATGAGTGGAGGGAAGAGATTGCGGGTGACGTGTGGCCGAAATCCCTTTGTGAGAGAAGAGGCCATGTGGGCATGTGGGTGATTAACTTATCTCTGGGAATTCCTATGTGTTCTGTGTCCATGACTCCTGACATCACCTAATTTTCCAAAATTCGTTTGAGGGAGGCTGCCCCTCCCTCTGGCAAAGTTTGCCTATTATTATTATGATTTTGAGTGCTTCCAGTTCTTTACAATCCAAGGAATCCAGAGTTGCTTCTTATGTTTAGTTGTTGATCAGAATCAGATTTCTATGCTCAATTAAAGTGCTTTATTATTTATCTAATGCAGTTCATATAGAAGTTAATAATTTCAGGAAATATTTATTAAAAAAAAAGATCACTGGGTTATATTGGATGCATATTGCTTACATTACTATTAAGAGCATTTATATAAACCCCCATTGAGATGAGATTGGGCTCCTAAATATTTTATGGTCAATATAACTGATATGATTAATTTGTATTTAACTATAGTTATTGTTATGGTTCAAATAAGTTTCTAGGCTCAAATAAGTTTCTAGAAGGTTCACATTTGACTAACATTATGGTAAGTGCTTCCTCCCAGCTGCCTCATATTCTCATATAGCCTCACACCAGCTCTG